TCGATTTTGACAATTAGAAGGAAGTTGCTGAGAAGCTGACTTCTCACAAAAAGTATGAGAGTTTCAGCTCAACTCTACTACAAGTTGGTCATTTTTTAAGCTATTACTGTTCCTTATTCTTGCAGTTTTTACCTATTTTTAAAATAACGAAAGTTGTTAAAAAGAAACAAAAGGGTTTCCAGTAGCGTGCCGAGGAGGGAGAGGCGCGACCGCCCCCCTCCCCTTCTCAATTCTGTCTGCCAAATTTTCCCAAAGGGTCCCACCTTTGGTATCTTATTACGATATCCCTTTTTGGCCGGCCAACATCTAAAATTTTCTAAGTCGCCTTCGGCGCCGAGATAACTAAATTTGAGAGGGGAGCGCGAGCCAAAAAAACGCAATTTTTTTGGTCAAATATTTTTTTAAATTATCGGCCTGTTTTTCACGTCATTTTCAGCCTGTTTTTTCAAAATTTTGCCTGCGACTCAGAAAACTTTTGACAAAATTGCTTCCTTATGGTATTTTTGGAGAGCTCGGAAAAGCAAATTGGTCGACCTAAAAAATAAAGGTCGAAAAAAATTTCAAATTGTTTACGAAACCCCTCCACCCTCCCGAAAAATTTCTGTGCACGCCACTGCCCGTTTCTCTTTGTTGTTTCTTATTTAGTCGTTTTCTTAAACTGGCCGTGGAAATAATTGTCTTATCTGCCGAACACATAAGTCGCCACTTGAGAAATTCCTCATGCCAGAAGGACCTAATACGTGGTTTTCATCAGTAGCTTTTCAGTGATTATGAGCTTAATTTTAAATGCTAGAAATGAGTTTTTGATCCGACTAAGTCACTGACTTTAGGTTTTTTGCCAATTTTGACTACCTCAAAGAAAGTTCGTAGCCCAAAGCCCTATTGGTCGTGATTCCAATTCCACAAAACAACAGTCAACTCTGTGTGCAGAACAAGTGGTATAAATGTTTTAGTTTTTTTTTCAGAATTCAACGGAGGGGCAGATAAGACTGCGCTCCCAGTCTGCAATTTTTTCGGTGTAATTTGAAATTTAAAAAAATTTTTGATGTCGGAATGTTCTGTAGCCACTTTCACAGCAACCGGCTATTGTTGTTGTTCCGACTATTTGAAAAATGGGGATGAACTTTGTATTCTTGCGATAAGCCAGCCATCCGTCCATCTATCCATGGAGCGCTGCAATCATCAAGCAATTCATCCAAGTAGCCATCCGTCCAAACGTCCATGAATTGAAATTTTCTGAAATCGGCTTATCCAAGCTATTCGTTCAAGCGATCCAACTAGCCATTCATCCGTTTTTCCATGTAACCAGCAAAACACCAATCAACCGGTCATCCAGCCATTTATCCGTCCAGCCATCCATGCTTCCATCAAGCATAAAGCCGTTCTTTCATCAAGCAATCCATTCGCCTAGCCGCTCATCCATCAAGTCTTCATTCTATCCATCCATCCAGCCAGCCATCCATCCATCCATCTATTCAATCATCCAACAGGCACCGATCCATTCTCATCCATTCATCTACAATCCAACCAGGCTGCCATCCATTCAGACATCTAGCCAGGTATCTATGCAGCCAGTCATCTATCTAGCCATCCTACCAGTTATTCATCCATCAATTAAGCCATCACTCAAGCGATCGATAACTCAAACCAGCCATCCATCACATCAGTCATCCCTTCGTTCATCTGCACTGCCTTGTAATCATCCGTCGAAATCTCTCCCTGTCTGTTCCCTGTCGGTACTACCATGCATCCACGCAACAAGCCAATCAACCGCCCATCAAGTCACCATCCATCTATCCATCGATTGAAATATCCAACCAGTCATCCATCTATTTAGCCATCCGTGCATCCAACCAGCCATCCATTCATCTAGCCATCCATCGATCAAGCCATTTAGCCATCAATCTCTCCATCCATTTCTGCCTTCCATCCATTCAGTTAACCAGCCATCCATCTCTCAATTTAGCCCTTCTTATACGGCCCATCCTTCATTCAACAATCTAACGGTCTCAACCATCATTCATGCGGCAATCCATCTGGCAGCATCCACACATTCAGACAGTCATCCTTTCAGCCATTCATCAGCGGTCTATTTCATGAAAAAAAAATCGTAGCCTATTTTTTTTATCAGAAAGCTGTTTGTATAATTCGCGCAATTTAAATACATCTCCGATGTTTTCCAAATTGTCTCTAGTTTTTTTTGTTAGCTATCTTAAAGCCTTTGTTTGTGTCCGGTTTGAAATGTCAAATTGTTTTTAGTTAATAGTTTGTGAAGATAGACTACTATATTTTCCTAAAGAAAAACAGCGCAAGTTTGCCTCAATTTTTTCGAATTATTCGTATCCTGCAAATTTAAATTCTGTGCCAATTTTAATGTTGAAATTTTTTTTGGCTCAATTTTGTCATAAAATTTGCGGACCCCCTGAGAAGTTATCCCCCACCCCCGCAATTCAAAAGACCTTTTTTGTTCAAAAAAGGTCCGACCCCTCCCCTCACTAATTATTGACCCATGCGAATTACGTACTGCAGAGTAATCGAGTTGACTCGAATTAAGTTAATTTAAGCAAAAAAATAAGTGCCCATCATGATATGTCGTTGAAGTTCGAAGAGTTTTAGTGGTATATATTTTAATCTTTAAAGTTCGAAAGTTGAAGTTTTTTATAGAAATAAGTCATATCAAAACCTTGTAATTGGTCGTTATGATAACCCAATGATTGGTCGTCATTCAGGGCCTATAAAAACTGTTTTGAACTTTCTCGATTTTGACAATTAGAAGGAAGTTGCTGAGAAGCTGACTTCTCACAAAAAGTATGAGAGTTTCAGCTCAACTCTACTACAAGTTGGTCATTTTTTAAGCTATTACTGTTCCTTATTCTTGCAGTTTTTACCTATTTTTAAAATAACGAAAGTTGTTAAAAAGAAACAAAAGGGTTTCCAGTAGCGTGCCGAGGAGGGAGAGGCGCGACCGCCCCCCTCCCCTTCTCAATTCTGTCTGCCAAATTTTCCCAAAGGGTCCCACCTTTGGTATATTATTACGATATCCCTTTTTGGCCGGCCAACATCTAAAATTTTCTAGGTCGCCTTCGGCGCCTATATAACTAAATTTGAGAGGGGAGCGCGAGCCAAAAAAACGCAATTTTTTTTGGTCAAATATTTTTTTTAATTATCAGCCTGTTTTTCACGTCATTTTCAGCCTGTTTTTTCAAAATTTTGCCTGCGACTCAGAAAACTTTTGACAAAATTGCTTCCTTATGGTATTTTTGGAGAGCTCGGAAAAGAAAATTGGTCGACCTAAAAAATAAAGGTCGAAAAAATTTTCAAATTGTTTACGAAACCCCTCCACCCTCCCGAAAAATTTCTGTGCACGCCACTGCCCGTTTCTCTTTGTTGTTTCTTATTTAGTCGTTTTCTTAAACTGGCCGTGGAAATAATTGTCTTATCTGCCGAACACATAAGTCGCCACTTGAGAAATTCCTCATGCCAGAAGGACCTAATAAGTGGTTTTCATCAGTAGCTTTTCAGTGATTATGAGCTTAATTTTAAATGCTAGAATTGAGTTTTTGATCCGACTAAGTCACTGACTTTAGGTTTTTTGCCAATTTTGACTACCTCAAAGAAAGTTCGTAGCCCAAAGCCCTATTGGTCGTGATTCCAATTCCACAAAACAACAGTCAACTCTGTGTGCAGAACAAGTGGTATAAATGTTTTAGTTTTTTTTCAGAATTCAACGGAGGGGCAGATAAGACTGCGCTCCCAGTCTGCAATTTTTTCGGTGTAATTTGAAATTTAAAAAAATTTTTGATGTCGGAATGTTCTGTAGCCACTTTCACAGCAACCGGCTATTGTTGTTGTTCCGACTATTTGAAAAATGGGGATGAACTTTGTATTCCGGTGTAATTTAATTTTTTTTCAAGCAAAATTACCTATCACAAATAATAATCGGCGAGAGATGAGTGTTATATGATATTGAGTGTTATATGATATTGAAGCCCTGACAGTCTTGATTTGAACGAAATTGAAAATTTCAAAAAAAATCCCGGTGTCGAGAAACATCGGTTTGAAGTTTTTGGTTTTCCGTCTTAAATCGGTCGAATAAAGCGAGCGAGCAGGCTTACAATAACTTATTTTAATGGCTCAAAAGCTTAAAATAGCTTAATTCAAAAACTTAAAAATTTAGTTTTACTCGAGTAACATTTGTTTTTTTTAGTATCTTAGCGCTTTTTTGGAATAAAAAACTGCAAGAAAATTTTTTTTTATTTTCGTTTTTCTAAGTAATTATTCTACAAAATTGTTTTTCAATTTGCTTATTTTACTATGACTGTCGAATATGCGTAATCTCTAGTTTTTCGATCAGCTCCGTTTATCGCACCGCGCCGGAAGAAAACAACACTAATTTGAAAAAACTTTTTTGTATATTGTTTATTGTCGTGCAGTGAGCGGCTATCGTTGTTACTTATTTGGATCGGGTGTCTTATAGTTTTTTCGTGCTTGTTTCACGCGCAAATTTATATTTTGACGGTTCAAATCTTGATTTTTTAAATCGCTTCAAATTCCGATAAGGCTCTACAAAAAAAAGAAAATGTTGGAAAAAATGCGCTAAGTTCAAAAAATGTGGATGTTGAAATTTATAATTTCCCCACGAGTGATCAAGCTATTATCAAGTTTTCTCAGATTGGGCTGCTAAAAAGTGTCAATCTCAATCAAAAAAGATTCTTGAAATACTCAATGAGTTGTTAGTGGATTATTGTTTTCTTGGAAACTCTTGGAAGGGGTTGATCAATTTCGAGCATTACGTCCTTCTATTCTAAGAATAGTACCAGCCACTTGCTCCCCTCATTATCTAAGCCGCTCAAAACTGATGTTTTTGTTGTTTTTGCAAAGTTGGTGTTCTTTTGCAAAATAATGAGGAATAAAACTTTGAGCCGTTGCGAGTATATGTTAGCCGTTTACACAGGCGCTCTTTATTTACATCTTATTCTTGAGAATAGCTTGATTTCAGATTTCTTAAATGAATGGTCAGAAGCAAATTAGTGCAACTTGGATGTTAATATTTTTTGTGTGAATTCGGTGTGTTATCTACAGTGGTGCTCATTCTAGTCTAGTTCGGGTTGAAACTGCAAGGCAATGTCGTCGCCTGCCTTCGCCCGTACTTCCTGTGACACGTTGCCAGAAGAGCGCTTTACTCCGTGTTGCTTTCCTAGGTAAATCCTGCACGAAATCATTTGAATGCCTTCTCCCGGAACTGCATTTTGCGGTAACTGGGACGAAAAAAAAGCTGACTTTAGAAATGAAACAGGAATTTAAAACTGACAGCATCCTCAATACGAATTGTTGGGACATGCAAATTTTTGCATAGATAATGTCGCGATTATGAAGACATTTTGTACAATCCTGTAGCGACCGCGCAAATAATTTTTTCAAATCAGATGGTTATTACCCAGCCTTTTAGTTAGTGCGACATGTAAGCTCAAGATTAAATTCTTTTAGGAGGCATCAATGTTAGAAACAGTTTGTATGTCGTAGTAGGATGGAGCTGCTTTTAATCTTGCCTATAATGTTATTTTTCTGATTTATGTGAAGGGTTATATTTTTAGTGGGGCCTGTCTGATTGGTGCTTCGGTGGACATTACATGTGAGGAGAGTACTGGCAGAGCCTCCAATGGGACCACGGCTAACAAGATGTACTGTACGAATGCCAGTTGTGATCAGACTAAATACATGCACACACACTGTCTAGAACAGCTGGAGAACCAACTGGCCCAGCAGGCTAGTCTGAAGACCAAATTTCTTTCATACTAGCATGGTTCACAAACGGTCTAAAATTTTTCTACCTAATGAATGAATAAGTTGTAGTTTTTCTGTTTGAGAGTCTTAGAATGTTAGTTCAATGTTAGTGGTAAGTATTAACTAGTGCCCAAAAGATGAATTTTGAGTTCATGGATCAAAATAGCAATTATTTGTTTTTTCGATGCAGTGCAACAGTACCGAACAGTTTTTTTCTTCAGAGCTGAAAATGAAAAGTTTATTTAACAGTCCCAATTTTTTAAATTTAAACATAGCCGAAAGATAATCCTTTCGAATGTCTGAATTATCGTGTATAACACGAAGATTTTCAAAAGATTTCATTGTTTTGACTTCTTAATGCATATGATCGCTTTAGCGGCGATCATTTTTGGGTATGTTTCTAAGTTTTTTGTGGTACGTTTTAATGGGAGGATTTCAATGCACGATTCGAGATTGCTTGCTTTAGTTTTTGGATCAAAACCCACAAAAATTGGGCTGAAACACTAATTCTTTTTTTTCCAGTTTTTGTGCATTTTTCACAACTGCTCCTGATGTTAAGTGAAATTAGCTTATCGTACAAGTTTAAAATTTTGAACGGATAATGTCCGTTGAGCCAGGTTTTTCTTAAATAACTGAAAAAAAAATGAGTTTCCATTGTAAATAACAATTAAAATCCTTTTTTTGCTATCCTACTTGATTCGCATTTAATTTTTTCTGAGAATACTGATAAGTAAATTAGGCAATATAAGCAATAGTTAACAATCTTCAAATTGTTTTGCCATTTTTTTATTTTGTCGATACTCAGTCACCAAATGAAATTTAGGACCCTTGTGAAAGCATCTTGGCAGTAATTAAGATGACAGCCCAAATCTGGGGTTCATGGAAAACTCCGCGAACAGATGCCGAAACTCCGTTTCTGTAATCAGGCAATAGTAACTTCGCATAAATTGCAATTAAGTGCGCTTAATCCTCGGATTTTTGTCTAACGCTAATAACTTTTTTTTCTGTAACGGTAATCTTCAATTTCAAAAGTTATTTCAGCCCAAGGAGCGTTTGCCCAAGTTTTGCCGCCTTAATTACCGCTTTGTAAATTTGGTTCTAATGATAGCTCAACGCTCGGATTTGTTTATCATATGTTTTCCTCTAAATGAACTGTATTTAGGACTAATCGAGTTTACGAACTTTGCTCACGGTTTTCAGCAGAGCTCTTTTTTGCAGCCTATTACTTTTGTACTATTGTCTGTTAATAATACAGTCGATTCTTTAGTGCTTTTCCAATAAAAAAGTGGTAACCTATATTTTTTTTTTGATTTTTTGACTTCGTCGCTTTCGGTTTAATTTTTGTCGGCACAGTTTCCGATTTTTTTCACGTTGCGCAATTGAATGCCCTTTTTAGAGGTTTGAATGCTAAGTGGTGTTTTGAAAGTAAACTTCGTCAAAAATCAATTTGTTGTGTTTTTTTAATTGAACAGCTTGTTGTTAAATTGGTCGGTTTAATGCTCACGATTTTTTCATTGTTTGATTATAAGTCATGAACGTAGTGAATACTCTTATATAGACTTAGTGATTTTTAAAAAAAGTTTCAAATTTAGTTCACGCTAAAATATAGTTTTTTGCGGTTGGACTTTTTGAAAGTAAACTTCGTCAAAAATCAATTTAATGTGTTTTTTTAATTGAACAGCTTGTTGTTAAATTGGTCGGTTTAATGCTCACGATTTTTTCATGGTTTGATTAAAAGTCATGAACGTAGTGAATACTCTTATATAGACTTAGTGATTTTTTAAAAAAGTTTCAAATTTAGTTCACGCTAAAGTTTAGTTTTTTGCGGTTGGACTTATGGTTTTTTCTAAGTTCACTTTTTCATTTAAAGGAAGGCAAACTACACTATGGAACAGCAGAAGTGTAAAGGTTCTCGAAAAACATGATCGACGTGTAATTTCAAGAGTGTATTTCAGTTTTCAGATTTATCAGCGGATCAAAATTTACCATTTGATCCAGTTTTTCTCAAATTGGGTTTTTTTAAATCAAAAAAGTGTCAATCATAAATTGTTCTTGAATTTCAATGAGCTTTATGGCCATATGTTTTTTCTTTCAAATCCGAGAGTTTTCAAAAAGCCATTTTTCAAAAAGCCATTAAGTTATTTTTCTTTTTCTTTGCGTGCCTGATGGCTATGTTTTTAATTAAGGTATTGCAATCGGGTACTAGACTTTTTTTCCCGTAAACTACTTTGTCCACAGGACTCATCGACTCCTGGTGGTACCTTAGTTAATAACCATATCAATTTTCTTAATGTCTCTTGCGCTCTTATTCTGGGGGTAACGAATGCGCCTGGGAAGGCAAAGGTCCTGGGCTCGAATCTCACCAGGACCTGTTTTTTTTTAACGTTAAAAAATTTCCAGTTCAAAAAAATTTCTACCTATTATTTGTCCGCTTATGTTTTGTCGGCTTAGTTGTCACATCTAAAAATTTTTTTTTTGCTGTAAACATTTTTCACTGTAATTGCTTTAATTGTTTTAACATTTAAAAAATCCGGCCGAATCGAAATTTGTTTTAAATACTGGTTGTAATTTTACCAATTCGATTTGTCAATTTTATTTTTCATTTTTTGTCGGGTTAATAAGTTTCGACTAAATTTATATCTATCTAGTGGACTCCTATTGCGTCGTTCGGGGATTGAAAAAGTTTTTGTGTGCATGCGTGTGCTCTGAGGGAAAAGGGACATAAAATTTCTTTTAAGTAAAAACTTCTTGAAATTTTTTTTTTGGCATGAAAATTTTCTGCTCAGGTATTTTCGGCTTTGTTACCTCCTGCTAATTTTAAATTCAAATTCAATCAACCATCAGGCGTATCTGGTGTAGAGGTGACGCAAATGCTGGAGACCGCTTTTTTATTGACATTTTTCTTTCGACAAAAGCGAATTTTTGAATTTTTTTTTTCAAACTTTTCCGATTGATTTTAATCATACTTGTATCGCAAGTTGTGCGAAGCTCAGCTTCGCCTCTGTGTAAATAAATTGCTCTGCGTTTCATTAGAAAATTGCAAGTTTGTATAAACATCCAGTTACACAAGCGAAACGTAGTGTGATAGTACGATGCAACTTTTTTTCCAACCTAAGTCGCAATAAAGTGTTCAATAAAATGGTTCACTTATTTGGTGTCTCTTTTGCTATAATCACGATCCTTAGCGTTAGAGTTTTTAAAGCATCTGTTTTATTTTTTTTGCTGGATAGTGTTTGCCTTTATTCAACTGTCCGTGGATCAGAGGGAAGGACGTGAGATTCTTGAGCTACTTGTCAGAGGTTCAACGTCGCTCTTAACATTAGTTTTGTTTATCTTTGTGGGCATTTTTGCTACATAGCACTGGCAATTTATTAATATCTATAGCTGCATCATTAGTGACCAGTGTGAGAAATTTTTTCGGCCCATGGCGCAGATTTGAGATTATTGACGTCACTTCGCTAAGTCGCAGGTTCGAATCCATCAGTGCAAAAGCTTAACTAATTCGAGGCTGCTGCCGACTTTTTCCTCTTTCATTTTTAGAGCAGCTCTTTGTCGTTTTCTCGCTTGTTTGCGATGCACAGCTTCGTGTCTGTGGGTAAATATATTTAAAATGGCTTCCTGATTTTCTCAAGTTTTCGAGATTTTTTTTTGTCCTTAGGCTTTTCTACAGTTTTGTATCAAACTAATTCTAGTTTTTTCATTTGCTATTTCGAGACGTTATTTGCATCCGTTCTGATTTTTTAGTGTGTCTGTGGTGTGTTTGCGTGTGTGTATATTCGTGCTTGCTTGAGTGGAGATTGAAAATTTTATTTTCTATGTGACAAACACAGCTAAATTTGCTACAAACTTTTTTCTTGAGAATCATTATTTTTCCCCTTTTATTTTTGGTGATTGTTTTACATGATAAACTTATAAATTGTGGTGGCTTCTCCGGTTGTCAACTGTTTGTAATAAAATCGGCGTTTTGATTTTGCATTTTTTGATTGATTGGCAGTGTATCTCTGTGTACGTTTTTCAAACTTCTTCAATTTTTTGATGTATCTAAAATGGTGTGAAACTCTGCTTCGCCTGTGTCAAGATTTTGGTTAATTTTGTTTTTTTTTCGATATTTTCTCAACATAATTTTTTTGAATGAGTGTATTTCGTCTTATTTTTCGTCGGGCATGTTAGCATGTTATATTATGTCTAACCTAACCTAAGTGATGCAAAGCTTTTTCTTAAGAATATTTGCTCTAAGATTTAAAATGCCGGATGCTGTTTTTCAAGTGAAAATCAATTTTTTATCGCATGTGGTGCGAAGTCCTACTTCGTCTGTGTCAAAATATTTTTACTGATAAAGGCGAGAAAATTTTTTTGATTTGTCACAAAATCACGCTCTTTCAGCAGAAAACAGGGCAGATTTTTCAAAAATCTTCTGAAGTTTCTATGAAAGAATTTGGTCATTTCGGTATAAAGTTTTTGGGGAAATGCGTTTCAGTAATTACAAAGTTTACCCGTGTTTTTCGGAACTGGTGAACCCCTCCTTTTTTATTTGCTCGTTCTCGCCCTGAAGTTTCTTTGACTTCTTACGCTTCTTTTCAATCCAAATCTTTGAAGGAATTAACTTTCCACGTCTTTCTTTAGTCACTCGGTTGGTGCTTTGAGGTAAATCTAAAAACATTTTGTTCGTATGGAAGAAATAGGTATGAATGAATGGAGATTTTGACATTTAATTGCTTTGACCTTTTTTTGATCCGATTAGCGGAGGTGCAGAGCATATAGGATACTGGCGTTTTCACACGCATTTCAGGCTACCACAAATAAAAGTCAGATGGGGTTGCATGGTCAGGGTTGCAAAAAAAACACGTTTCGAGTAACAAAAACGTTTTAAACATATTTTAAACCAAAAAAAAATTATATACAGTCTGTGCACCATACTTTTTCAAGTTGAGTGCTCTTTTCATTTCATTTTCAGTAGGATCGACTCCGAAAAAGTCGGATAAAAACAGCAAATCAAGACTCCAGAATAAAAGAATTTTATCGTTTCTCGGCACTTTCGAGTCATTCGGGTCGTTCGATACCTCGTTCACGAAATCCATAGAGGAGGTTTTTCCACGACTACAGTTCAGTTAGTCAAAGCACGCAAGAAAATCTGCCAATCAGGGGAAGTTGTTTTAAACAATAAATTATTCAGTGTTTTAAACACTGTTTTAAACGTGTTTTAAACATGTTTTAAACAAGACATGTTTTAAACATTGCAACCCAGTGCATGATGTATCAAATTACAGCCCTTCATATTGGTCCAGTTTCGAAAAATTTTGATTCCATTACACTTATTTGGTTGCTCACTGCCATTGCTCAACCTACCCTAATTTAAACCAAAGAGTCACAAGTCCTATGTGTTAGAGTGATGCAGAACTTAATGAATCGATTTTAATGTATGCGATTTTTTTCGATTTTTATGTATGCGAATTTGTGGTGATGCTTCAGTATTTGAGTTAATTTAAGTGCTTATGGAAGTTTAATTTCATGAATACAGTTTCTCCTACTCCGAAATAAGAATTCAAAAAATTGGAAATTCATCATTCTTTTATTCAATGAACTGGTTTTTGATTTTTTGCTGTTTGACTTGGTTTCTTTTCAAGTTCTTTTCAATTCATTTGCCAAATTGAAAGCAATGGGAGAGAGGAAAGGATGTTAACTTGTTCCCAAAAAGTTTTTAGCTATATATTTTCCTGATTTTCGGTCTTTTTGTTCAATTTTGAAACTTCAAACTATCTGTTGGCTGTTTTTTGAAGATCATTATGTTATACTTGTACAGCAGCAACAAGATATTCGTGTTCATATGCTTAAAATTGTCTGTATCAGGCCAAGAAACTAGCCTCAGAGAGCAGCAAGTCTGGCAGAGGAGGGGCCAAAGGTAATGGGAGCAAGGTCAGTGGAATGAGCGACAAGCAGATTAGACAGAACATCTGGAACTTCAAACGTGAGTTTGTTCAGTTTTTTTGCTGACGACGTGAGCTCGAAATTGTTTTACTCGGGGATGAGCTATTGGCGAGCGTAATTAATGGTCCTCACTTTAGTATTAAGAAGTCAATTTAGAAGATCAGAACATTATCAGCTATCAATATGCTACACTAACTCCAGTACTCTTGATATTGATAATAAAAAACTATTTTTTGCTTCTCTGGCAAACTTTGCCTGGAGGACTACGCCTGGAACCGCCAAGGTCGTGGATGCGAATCCAAGCAGGTCTGTTTTTTTAAGGATTAAATTAAATTGGACTGTTTTTACGTTTCAAACAAAGCGGTCTATCGTTTGTCCGATTGTATTGTGCCGACTTGGTTGCAGCATCACAGAAATTTTTTGCTAATAATTTAATTAAATCATACGATAGTTTGGTTTAAATCAAATTCAAATTTTCTATGCTTTTCCGACACATATGTTTTTTGAGAAAAATACTACGCCTGAGGTGGTAAAGATCCTGTGTCTCGCCAAAACCTTTTCTTCTTCAAAATAGAAAATTTTCTGTTTAAAAAATAGTCGACAGGTTGTTTTCGCTGTGCTGTAAGTAATTTTTTGGTAATTGAAACAGTTATGATTTGTCACTGTAATTTGTTAACTTACTAAGTTTGTAATTGTTTCTTTTCGGGTGAAAGTTTTATTTGGCCTCAATCGTTTCGGTTTATGTTTTATCGAATAACTGACTTAATTTAGCGATGTTTTAAAGAAAAAAGAGATTTTTATGCTTTTGTGTAAAGAGGGGTAGCCTAAAAATTTTCAGAACTTTCAAAAGTGTTTCAATTGAAAAACTTTTTCTCAAGGGGAGTCTAACCGACTTTTGTCGGTTTAGTTGCCGCTCAGTTATTGATTCTGAATACAGTCCAAACGCTAGTTTTGTGTTAGTGATCGTGTGCTTGTCGAATTGAATATCATTCCAGACAAATTGCTGAAATTTTTGGAGTTGTGGTTTCGAAATTTTTTATTCGATTAAGCATGTTTCATTCTCTCTCTGCTAGCTTGCAATGCTATGTCTGTGTTATCGCAAGTGGTGCGAAGCTCCGTTTTGCTTCCGTGTTAGTTTTTCCATTTTGTTCGAAATTAAATCCGCTTATTTACACTTACAGAAAATTTTATTTGTGTACTTTTGATTATTATTATTATAAAGGTTTAAATCACAAAGAGGAAGTGATTTCTCCACCCAAATATGGAATAAAAAACCAGTTAGAAAGTTAATTGTCTGTAGTTGTTGCAGAGGCAGAGAACTACCCATATGCAGGAACAATTTTCGTTGTACTTGGAATGATAATGAATCCAGTAAAAGCTTAGCAGTCTGTTTTAGAGACCACCGGGTGAAAGGAATCTGACCTGGTCGTCGACGAGGTTCGCATGCGACCTTTCCGGTACCAAAAGTTGGTTTTGTCTAGACCCACTCTGGGGATATTGAATATTTTGCTGCTTCTGGCAGAAATGGGCACGAAAATCTGTTTGAGCTGGTACCGGTTTGATGTAAACTTAGATAAGAGCAACAAATCATTCATCTCGGTATATAAGGACAGTGGTAGCAGGTTGAATTGGTCTAGCTGCTGGGTGTAATGGAGATCGGCGTAAATTGTTATTCAGTATGTTGCTTGCGTTGTATCGAATTCAGCGCTCTGGTGTACTTGTCTTGTCCGCAAACCATGATGCACACTGGTACGTTGTTTTGGGCAATACCATTGATTTCAATTGACACAATTTTTGCTGAGGGGCAAATAGTTCGGATGAAAATCATTTCAGCATGGGCAGGACTGATGGTGACTTCCGACTTACCTCGTTAATCTAGATGCTCTGGAACAGTTACTTGATATTGTAACACCAAGGTCTTTCTCGAGCAATACTTCACAAACTTCTTCTTCCCCTAATCTTGGCGGTTGGCAGGTGTGGCGTGTGAACGTAATAAAGTTGCACTTCTCGAGGTTAAGCTGCTCTGAGTTTACCCTGCACCAGTTAGTCATGTCCTCTTGAAATTTACATATTTCACCACTGGAGTGAATGCTCTGTAGTTTGGTATCATCTGCAAAGCTGAAGGGTTGGCATTTAAGGCCTTCTGAGAAATCGACCACATAGAAGAGGAAGAGTAGTGGTCCTAAGAAGGAACCTTGAGGCACCTCACTAAGGACGAGGGAGGACCTGAAATAGTTGATCTCGAGAAATTGTTGGCGTTTTGAGAGATTGTCTTCGATGGTAGCCAGAACATAGGAACTTCAAACGTGAGTTTGTTCAGTTTTTTTGCTGACGACGTGAGCTCGAAATTGTTTTACTCGGGGATGAGCTATTGGCGAGCGTAATTAATGGTCCTCACTTTAGTACTAAGAAGTCAATTTAGAAGATCAGAACATTATCAGCTATCAATATGCTACACTAACTCCAGTACTCTTGATATTGATAATAAAAAACTATTTTTTGCTTCTCTGGCAAACTTTGCCTGGAGGACTACGCCTGGAACCGCCAAGGTCGTGGGTGCGAATCCAAGCAGGTCTGTTTTTTTAAGGATTAAATTAAATTGGACTGTTTTTACGTTTCAAACAAAGCGGTCTATCGTTTGTCCGATTGTATTGTGCCGACTTGGTTGCAGCATCACAGAAATTTTTTGCTAATAATTTAATTAAATCATACGATAGTTTGGTTTAAATCAAATTCAAGTTTTCTATGCTTTTCCGACACACATGTTTTTTGAGAAAAATACTACGCCTGAGGTGGTAAAGATCCTGTGTCTCGCCAAAACCTTTTCTTCTTCAAAATAGAAAATTTTCTGTTTAAAAAATAGTCGACAGGTTGTTTTCGCTGTGCTGTAAGTAATTTTTTGGTAATTGAAACAGTTATGATTTGTCACTGTAATTTGTTAACTTACTAAGTTTGTAATTGTTTCTTTTCGGGTGAAAGTTTTATTTGGCCTCAATCGTTTCGGTTTATGTTTTATCGAATAACTGACCTAATTTAGCGATGTTTTAAAGAAAAAAGAGATTTTTATGCTTTTGTGTAAAGAGGGGTAGCCTAAAAATTTTCAGAACTTTCAAAAGTGTTTCAATTGAAAAACTTTTTCTCAAGGGGAGTCTAACCGACTTTTGTCGGTTTAGTTGCCGCTCAGTTATTGATTCTGAATACAGTCCAAACGCTAGTTTTGTGTTAGTGATCGTGTGCTTGTCGAATTGAATATCATTCCAGACAAATTGCTGAAATTTTTGGAGTTGTGGTTTCGAAATTTTTTATTCGATTAAGCATGTTTCATTCTCTCTCTGCTAGCTTGCAATGCTATGTCTGTGTTATCGCAAGTGGTGCGAAGCTCCGTTTTGCTTCCGTGTTAGTTTTTCCATTTTGTTCGAAATTAAATCCGCTTATTTACACTTACAGAAAATTTTATTTGTGTACTTTTGATTATTATTATAAAGGTTTAAATCACAAAGAGGAAGTGATTTCTCCACCCAAATATGGAATAAAAAACCAGTTAGAAAGTTAATTGTCTGTAGTTGTTGCAGAGGCAGAGAACTACCCATATGCAGGAACAATTTTCGTTGTACTTGGAATGATAATGAATCCAGTAAAAGCTTAGCAGTCTGTTTTAGAGACCACCGGGTGAAAGGAATCTGACCTTGTCGTGGACGAGGTTCGCATGCGACCTTTCCGGTACCAAAAGTTGGTTTTGTCTAGACCCACTCTGGGGATATTGAATATTTTGCTGCTTCTGGCAGAAATGGGCACGAAAATCTGTTTGAGCTGGTACCGGTTTGATGTAAACTTAGATAAGAGCAACAAATCATTCATCTCGGTATATAAGGACAGTGGTAGCAGGTTGAATTGGTCTAGCTGCTGGGTGTAATGGAGATCGGCGTAAATTGTTATTCAGTATGTTGCTTGCGTTGTATCGAATCCAGCGCTCTGGTACTTGTCTTGTCCGCAAACCATGATGCACACTGGTACGTTGTTTTGGGCAATACCATTGATTTCAATTGACACAATTTTTGCTGAGGGGCAAATAGTTCGGATGAAAATCATTTCAGCATGTGCAGGACTGATGGTGACTTCCGACTTACCTCGTTAATCTAGATGCTCTGGAACAGTTACTTGATATTGTAACACCAAGGTCTTTCTCGAGCAATACTTCACTGACTTCTTCTTCCCCTAATCTTGGCGGTTGGCAGGTGTGGCGTGTGAACGTAATAAAGTTGCACTTCTCGAGGTTAAGCTGCTCTGAGTTTACCCTGCACCAGTTAGTCATGTCCTCTTGAAATTTACATATTTCACCACTGGAGTGAATGCTCTGTAGTTTGGTATCATCTGCAAAGCTGAAGGGTTGGCATTTAAGGCCTTCTGAGAAATCGACCACATAGAAGAGGAAGAGTAGTGGTCCTAAGAAGGAACCTTGAGGCACCTCACTAAGGACGAGGGAGGACCTGAAATAGTTGATCTCGAGAAATTGTTGGCGTTTTGAGAGATTGTCTTCGATGGTAGCCAGAAGTTTTCCTCCTACATTAATGTCGCGAAGTTTGTTCAGTAGTATGATGTCAATAGTGTCGAAGGCTTTGGCGAAGTCCAGGTACACTATCTCTACTGCTGCGTCTTTCGTGTCTATGCCTTTGTAGATATGGTCGAGATAACTGATTAGCGCAGTGTTCGTTGATTTGCCCCTTTGGAATCTAAATTGAGAGGCTGGTAGCAGAAGATAGAAAAGCTGGTGTGGAATATAGAATATGCGTTTTTAATTTATCTTCGATATTATGCTTAGCAATGTGACTGGTCGGTAGTTTTTAACGAGAGATTTATCTCACTTTTTATGAATCGGCTTGCTTTTCCAATATTCCAGAACGGTGGGAACGAGCAGGTACGCTTGCTGGTGCTAGAGACACTGAAAAGCTACTTCGAGAGGGACGGTGACGACCTGTACAGAACTCGTGGTAGGTTTTCAGTGCCCCTTGTATTCGAGACGTCCAGTTTCAAGAGAATTTCGTCTAGCTTGGTACGCGAGACGTCGTAGTCATCGCATCTGGGTTGGCTCATGAAGAGTTCCGGTGGTTTCTGGGTCTCACTTTTCTTCTGGAGAAAACGGATTGAAAATACTTGTTGAACATTTCACTCATCTGCGGACTTTCAGCTAATTCCTCGTTCCATCGCAGTATCGGTGGATAACTATTGGGGCAGCGAACTGACTGGAAATATTTGAAAATAATCATGGTATTGCGTGAGTTGGCAAGTTCGGATTCGTGTATAACCTGGTCGCTACATAGTGCTTCTATATTTTCGGTTAGTTTGCTTATGTTCTCCCGCTGTGCTTCTATTGGTCTTTTCGCGTAGCCTCTTTTGGCAGTCTGTTTAGTTTTGATCAAGTGTGGGTAGCAAGACGTTCAGCCATTTGTAACATTGATCCACTAGGGTGCTCGTGTTTGACCAGCATGTGCCTATGAACGGGGACGATTCAATGATTTGTCCAGGCATAGGTAATCCGCGCGGTAGAAGCAAAGGCTAAGTGTACTGTGTCTCATTGGGTTCCAGAGCTTGACGGTTAGCAATGGTGACTGTGTAGTGATCGGAGACTGCGGTACAGTCGATATGGTTATACGACTTTAACGTTTCCAGAACTGAGATAAGTTATATTTCTCATACTTATGAAATTTAACGCATTATACGTTAAAAAAAATTTCCGAGTGGTTTATACGAAACAGTTGTGCAAGTTTTTTAAATCATTAACATCTATTTATCTATCCATTTTAATATACAGCTTTAATAACTATCTATTTTAACACTAAGGCAGATTGAAAAGATCTATATTATAAGGTTGGACATAAAACGCTAACTTGAAGATACTAAAAAAAATTATATGAACGAGCACATTTTTTTCTTACTTAATCAATTCGTTTAATTTTCCACTGTGATGGCAGTACCTAACCGGAAGCATTTCTTTCAATCTGATTCTGGGTTGTGTTTGGAAAGAAATCATTTATTTTCTCCTGAATAGTACAACGTATTTTAAATCAACAAACACAAGCACTACAATGAAGAGGATAGACGAAGGGTATCATAATAGATACCCACAGAGTGTCCGTTGGTCAAAACAAAAACAGAAAAATAACTTATCCGCATTATTTTTTGATGAAAAGCATCACTAAACTTGCTATGACACAATTTACTGTATTGCAATTTTGTTTCATTATACAGACGGGAGAGCATAGTTTTTCAAGTTTTTTAGTGAATGCGTTTAGGAGAGATATAGGCCAATAAATATTAATATCCATCTTACTGTCACCTTTGTGCTGTGGGAAGGAAGACTTTAGCATACTTAAGTTGAGGGGCATACATAAGTTGTCAGATGAGAAATAAAGATTAAATAAATGTAGTAAATATGGGGCAATAATGTAGAAATTGGCTATTATTTTCGTCGATGCCTGAAGATTGCTTCGGTATCATGTTAGATAGATACTTGGACTGGAGCTTGATCTTTTTGGGCCACGTTTTTTCTGATTGAAGTTACATATAAGTAACTAGTATATGCACGAAATATTAATTGTTACTTTTATCGATCGCTGGCAGTTATTCCTAAAAGGCTGATTTATAAAACATTAATGGGTTTTTGTTGTACACTATATTCAATCTTCGACATTGTATCTAGCTTTTTCTAAAGTGGTGAACTTGATGTTGATCGGTGTATTGGCGAGAACATGAACATCTCTTTAAATGACCTTTAATTGCTGATTTTAGCCGAGTTTGACCAGCTCTACTCGTCTCTGAGTTGCAAGTGTGGAAAAGGTCACGTCACTCGAGATCCATCCTCGTCCTCTAGTCAGACACAGCTTGGTGGGGGAGAGGGTGATGGGGATTATGTAGAAGAACCGTTCCAGATTGTGTCCAGTGGAGGCAAGCGGGGAGTAGGTGGGGGTGTGGGTGGGGGCAAGAAGAGAGGAGGGGGTGTGTTCAATACTAGCAACAGCAGCAATACTAGTTTCAACAGCCGACAAGGCGGAGGGGGAGGTGTGGCAAACAAAATTCAGAATAGTCACCACGGTAAGTAAGTTTCATGTTATTCAAGAAAACATCGGTGTATGGCCTTAACGGTTTCTTGAGAAAAAGCATTTGAATTTGCATTTAAATTTGCGTAAATTAGTTAGTTCGCTTGATATGTGATTTGGAAAATCGTGTTTCATTTTTTAATTGATCTTCATTGTTCGTTTTAAGAACCGTGCAAGTTCGACTTAGTAGGATTCTGAAATGAAATTTGCTTTAAGAATGCGTGTACATTTTATGTGAGAAATCATGTGTGCATATTTCTGAAATTATGGCTGATTGTTTATAGCCCAACCCAAACAAATATCTAGAATTCGCAATTCACTGTCCGCGTCCGACATGTCTACAGCTGCCGGTAGTGTCCCTAGCAACTCGCCGGGAGGTGGTGGAGGCGGAAATACTGCCTCCTCATCCCCAGGCTCCTCCGCTATTCACCCTTCCGGCTACTCGCCCGACTCAATGTCTCCCCGCAGTGCGAGTGGTGGTCAGTACTTTTCAGGAGGGTCCTCAAAATGGGGAGGGGTAGGAGGAGCTAATCATTCTAGTCCCCCAACCAGTGGTCGTTTGGGAAGGAGGACCGAGTTCTCCTCTCTGCAGACGACTATGGACCCCTATAGATACAATATATTTCATGTGAAGGTGGAAGAAGACCTCCCGTCAGATGAGTTCAAAGATGCGCTCTTCCAGACGCTTCGTAGTAGATCTTTAAATACGGTGAGTTACTCATAGACTTATTTAAGCCTCCTAAACAGTGATATTCAGTAAAAAAAAAAACAATTCTTTAAATTTAAATTAAATTTGTTTCAGAAAGTTATAAAAATTCTTGGCATCAATTTAAATTTTTCCGCAACTATTTAAATTTTCCTTCAGTCTATTTTTTAGCAGTTTTCTGCCAATTTTGGGGACTTTTCGCTATTTTGTAAAACTAATTTCAAAGTAGTTTTTTGTGCATATCCATTTTCTACAAAAATGTATCAAATTTGTCGTGAAAATTTAGATTGTTTGCTTTTTCCGCGGAACTGGGAAATGTGAAATTAATTATCATAAGTAAACTCTGAACTTTGGCGTCGGATCAAATACCGCCGGAGCATTTTAAAATTTTTTTTCAATTTAAATTGTTTGATTTAAATTAAAATTTTTCATTTAAATTGAGTTTGAGTGGGCTCATAATTTCACATTTAAATAAATTGAAATTTGAATGAAAATTTGAATTAGTTTTAATTGTTTTTTTAAATGGACATCACTGCCCTTAATTCATTAAATTTTCTTCAGGAATGGATGCATACACTTGCGAGCGTAGTGTAATAGGTTGTCAATTCTTTTTTTTTTTTCAACCTCAAAAGTTGCAAATTTTGGTGCCACTCTTGGTAGGACATTTTTGTGGCAAAAGCCATTGAAAAATGTTAGCCAACTTGGTGCCACTTTTTGTGGCACCTTTACGGCTTTTTGATAGCATGTGCTTTGACATTCGATTAGTAATAAGTTAACACAGTTGATGCAGTTTTAATTCATCAAATGAATCCCAAAAAGTCTAATTGTTTCTAACGACAAACTTTCCAACTCAATCTATCTTTCAATTTTTGAAACTCATAATTCCTACATAATTTATTCCAATGTTTTGCGTGCAAAATTAGTGTGGATGCTTTCAGTTTGTTATGTATCGAATTCTTACATGCAATTTTGTATCTATTTCTATTTGGTTCCACTTTTGATGCAATGCATTACCAAATTATTAGCATATGTAGCTGCTTTATTTGTGGGCAGTGTTAGCGAATTATCATGGATCCGTGATTCAGATGCGAGGGCAGGGAATCTAAATCTCATGGTCCTAGGATTGATTAGGTCACAGCAAAAAAAATATTTTTCAGGGCTTTTCTTATATCTTTTCTTATTTATTTTTTTAGAGCTGCTTTTTGCCGTTTTCGTAAATATTTTTGTTCACAGGATCGTCAATTACAACTTATTGGCTTTTTACTAAGTTTTTCTGATTCACGCTGAAAATTTCAGTTCGAAAAAAAAATTTGAAGAGATTGTTTGTGTGATTTTTTTTACACTAGTGATGATGTTGATGATGATGATGATGATGATGATGATGATGATGATGATGATGATGATGATGATGATGGCTTTTCGATGGTTTGGCGCCTGCCCGGGGAGAAAAGCGCAGAGAGAAATCGAACAAAGACCAAACCAAGCGGGGGGGGGGACAAGGCCCGGCAGTGAGTCAGACTTAGGTCACACTGCCGGGCGGAGTCTCTCAAACACACCCCAAAACAGATACGGCCCAGCCAACCGTCCCTCGATGAAGGCGATCCGTCACACCCTACGGCACACGGAATCTCTGGTGTCCCTACATCTGTACAACGATGTGGAACCAAACCCAGGTCCGAAAGTGTGGAAGTGTGCAGTGTGCGATCAAAGAGTCAAAAGAACCGAGTGGTCAGTAAAATGCAACGGATGTGGGAAGTGGGTACATTGGGGCTGCACCGACCTAGGAGAGAATGGAAGGTGGGACGCAAGTTTCAAGGCCACATGCTGCCCTGCTCCCCCCGCCAGCAAACCGACAGCAAACGGATCAGAAGAAAGAGGAACAAAAGAGAGAAGAGACAGCGAAGGCAAAGAGAGCGACATGAGAATTGGATGAAGGACGCAAGAAACAAAGGAAGGGAGGAGACTACCACGCTGTGGGCTTGGAATATCCAAAGGGCGCGAGTTAGTTTCCCGAAAAGAAACAGATTCGCGGAGATTGTTAAAGCCATAGCCAAAAGCAAGGCGGAAGTGGTAATGATGAGCGAACTCCAAGAACAAGAAGAAGGCTTCAAATGGATCAAGGCCAGGGAGATTTTCGGAGTATTGATCCATGGAAAAAGAAGTGGCATTTTCCTAAGGGACCAGTGGGCCTCGAAATGGGCAGATCAAGGTTATAGGAGAGTAATCCGGGAGAGAAGCATCTCGATAGATGTGGATGACTACCGGTTTATCTCGACATATCAACCACTCTGGGAAGGCCTCAGTATCGAGTTCATGAGGTACAGAGAGGAGCTCTCTACCCTAATCGAGAGCAAGGACATGGTTATAATAGGGGGCGACTTCAACTCAGTGGTAGGGGAGAGTGCTACCAGGGGGGCGGACCAGACGGCGGGTATCCACGGTTTAGGCAAGACAAACGCAGCGGGTATGAACCTACTGGAATGGTGCCAAGAGAACAGCCTAGCCTGGTGCAACTCCTTTTTCAGCCACAAGAGGAGAGGAACATGGAAGCATCCTAAGAACAAAACATGGCATGAAATAGACGGCTTCATTATGAAGCAACAAGATCGGGGAAAACGCGCACGGAGGATTTTCACGGTACCGACGAGCAAGGATCTAAGCGACCACAGACCGAAAGCGATGTGCTGTACCCTGAATAACTCTCTGGACAGGAAGCGCAATAACAAGACCAGCCAACCCAAGAAGAAAATAGACTGGGAAAAACTAAGAACGGTGACAAAGGCAACGGAATACGCCAATAAATTAGCTACAGAAGAGCTCGAAGACTGGACACAAACAGCAAAGGCGATGAAGAGAGTAGGGGAAGAAGTGTGCGGCACAGTAGAAAAACAACCCCTAAACCCCGCGTTGGAGAGGCACAAAAAGGAAATAGAAAGGGCGCAAAAGAGAATATGCGAACTAACAGCTCGAGCACAAGACGGAAACGAAGCAGCGAAGGAAGAGAGACGGAAAGCTAGAAAGGATTTCAAAAGACAGAAGAAAGAGTGGGAAGAAGAATGGTGGCTAGAGATTGTCAACGAAGCCAAAAGAGCCGAAACTAGCGGCGATATAAGAATCCTGTATAAAACCTTGAAGGATTGGCATCAAAGACAATAATAGCTGTGTTGAGGACGAATTCTTCAGCCCGGAGGAATGCAAAGAGCATTTCATGCAAGTCTCGGCAACGAGATATGACCGACCGGAGGGAGAAATAAAATCCTTAATCGATAGTCTGGAACAAAGAAGGGACACTGTGGCACGAGAAGCAGCACGGAAAATAGAAATGGAATTCACAGTGCAGGAAGTGGAGCGAGAAGTTGCTCTCATGAAGGACGGCGCGTCAGGGATTGACGGAGTGCGCCTAATTGGGATCAATGCCGCTGACAACACAACAAAAAGAGAAATTTTCAAGAGCGTCATACAACTGCTTGAAACAGATCCAAACACCTGGCCCGAGGAAACCAAAGAAGGATGGGTGGTACCCATTCACAAGAAGGGTCCAAAGAACGATCTACAAAACTACAGAGGCATTTGCCTCCTTCCTTTAGCCAGCCGGATCATAGCCAGAGTACTGGCCTCCAGGATCAGACTATGGGCGGAAGAGATTGGGGCATTAGACGAAAACCAAAATGGCTTCAGGAAGAACAGATCGACCGCGGACGCGACACAGACTATAATCAGAATCGACGAAGAGACAAGTAGAGTTCTGGGAAGGTCTAACCGCCCTGACCCGAGAAGACCAGGAGCTGTACTCTTGGACATAAAAAAGGCGTACCCGAGAACGAACAAACCACTTTTATGGGGGATACTAGGAAAGCTAGGTATGCCTCCAAGCATCTTAGAAATCCTGAAAGGCTTACATGAGAACACACAATACCGAGTAAAAGGCAAACAGGAACTGAGTACACCATGGACGCCACAAAGGGGCCTTCGCGAAGGTTGCGCCACCTCGCCCATTCTGTTTAATATTTATCATGCTACATCCATGAGGCAAGCCCAAATGGATCGGATAAAGGAGGCAAAGGAAGAATGCGGCTTGAAGTGGACCTGGAGACCGGGAAACAGCCTCCCCCCTGCGACGTCCCAAAGGAACCTACGGAACAGCAACAGGATTGAATTCCAGATACTGGACTCGCTGTTTGCGGACGACTCCACTCTGGTAGGAAGTATGGAAGAGCTCAGTCGAGGTAAAGAGACAATAAAGAAGACGATGCTGAAGTATGAAGAAGTGTGTCACGATGGGAAAGAAGAATTCAAAATGTTTGGCAGCGAGGCAGCGGACAGGACAAGGATGTTAGGGACCCTAATTGGAAGAAAGGAAGACATAAACGCGAGGATTAAAAGAGGCTACCATGCTTGGTCAAAGGCCAAGAAATGGCTATGGAAGTCAACACTGTCAAAGAGAACCAAGGCGGTAATTGTCCAAGCAGTAGTAGAATCAACCATGCTATTCGACTGCTCGGTGAGACCCTGGACAACCACGCACATTTCGAAATTACAAAGAGTGGCCGATATAGCGTACAGAAACGTATGGAATAATGGGAAGGGGCTGGCGCTATACAGGATGCAGAAGGAAGGGGTGAATAGTTTTGAGATCAGAAGGCAACTAGGAATAACATCAATTCGACAGAAGATGGAAACACGGGCACTGGAGAGGATAGGACACGTGACGAGGATGCCGGACACAAGAACAGTAAAGAAAATCACTCTGGGCAACTGGACGGAAGTAGGCGAAAGACTAAAGAATGGGAAGAACAACACTATAACGTATTGGAAAAGAATTTTAAAAGAGGCAGGGTTAGATTGGACTAACATCGAAGGTCTAACTATGGACAGGAAAAATTGGAAGGGTATTGTGAACGAGAGGAAGAAGGCCATGGATGAATGGGAGAACAAGATGTGCGAAATACACAAAGGGGATCTGAAACCAACCAGAAGCCAAGCCGGTAAACCAGTCACGGAGGAAGGGTTCAAATGTCGTTGGCCACCATGCGAAAAGACATGCCGAACAAAGGTGGGACGAGACCATCATGAAACACGAATCCACAAGCGCAATGAATTAATATTTGAATGTGGAAAATGTCACACAACTATCGAACAAAAAGCACAAAGAACGAACCACGCCAAGCAATGTGGAGGGGCCCCAAGAGGGACGTGCCCGGACTGTGGGAAAGAACTTAGCACGACGAACATGGCGAGACATAGAAGAACCTACTGTTTGAGAAGACATGACACAATGACTCTTAGAAGCGCGAGCACACTAGCCAGGACCACATGCCCGGACTGCGGGATCCCCATTACAAAAACAAATGTAGCAAGACATAGGAACACTGCGTGTCCGGGGAGTGGCAGTCGAGACCCCCAGGGGTTGTAAACGACATACAAGACAAGACAAGACAAGATGATGATGATGATGATGATGATGATGATGATGATGATGATGGTGGTGGCGATGGTGATGGTGATGCTGATGTTAGTGAATTAAGAACCTTCTTTTTTTCTAACCTAAATCAAAAAGGCTCTTTGGCGGATGTGCGCGCTATAAGATCAATGATCAAAATTTTCTGAGAATTTTTTTCTGAATAAATTTATAAAATACTTCCGGAATTTTTGTTTAAATGTTGTCTTGATTGTTCTGTTTGCAAAAGTGTTTGGCGGATGTGCGCGCTATAAAATCATGAGTGTTTCTATCACTAAATTTTTTTTTTGAAAATATGAAATTTCATGTTTTTTTTCTGTTTTAACGATTGTCTTTATTTTTGTTATCTTTTTGTTGGCTCAGCTACCTTTATGTTGCGGATTAGCTTCATTTTTGTCAAGCTTGATGTATTTGTGTTAATTTGTAGGCTTTTAAAGTTTTCTATGGTTTCTGTAATTTTTAATGCTTTAAATTTGTTTAAATTTTTTCGTTCATTTTGATTTTTGTTTTAGCAAGGAATCGAAAGTGCTTTTTGATACATCCGGATGTTCTTGATGGACTTGAAGTGTGTTTGGTTCCAAAATTTTTAGAGAAGTTTCTCGGTGAATTTTGGAATTTTTGGTTTATGATTTTTGGGCCGAAATCACTTTTTTGTATCCTTCCCATCTTATAGTTATCAGAAAGAAATAAACGGAGTTTGTTTAACTTGAATCTTCTATGTTTCTGGTAATTGAATTCTATAAGAATTGCAAAATTTTGCGGAGCTTTCAGCAAACGATTTATCAACATTATTCATTTAATTATTTTTTCGTGAGAACCAGATTATCTTCAGTGTTATGAGCTCGTGTGCATTCTCTTGAGTTTATTGGTTTGAGAGTTCGAGAGACAATTTTCATTTTCCGAGCGAACTTGGCCATAGAAAAGGCTGGAAAAATTGTGTGTCCATACGGGCAGTTGAAAAAAACTTGAGGAATTAATCAGTTTCACCTCCGAAGTTTATCGCGGATAAAAGCATGTTTGTTTTGTTTTAAAGAGTAAAAAACGGTTTTTATCACATCCCTAATTTCCACTGACTTTTATCCGCCGATTTCATATTCCCATGTCCAACTTTCGATTGATGATAGATAAAATGCTCGATAGCTACTTTATTTTATTTTAACCAATTTTAATGATGTTGCTCGTTTTTTAGTTAAAATCCATTTAACTTTTGTCCTGAATTATGTTTTTCGTTTAGTGCAGTTTTTAGTTCGGTATACATACATTGTTGTTGATTTGGATTAGTGATTTCTAGTGTCTTGTTGCCTTCTGGAGGGTTGAATCGCAGCGACTATAACAAGTAAAAAAGCTCGTTTTATTTACAGCTAACTTGTCTGATATGTGCGAAGAGATTGCTAGTTTACGATAGATACCCCCTCGTAGATGGATGTGCATTTCTCTCACCTGTCAAACACCACCAAGACGAACACAGAAGTTTACCGTTTCACATTAGCCCAAATATACATAGCCATGCATCGCCCAGACAACACGTAAGCAGAACCGTATCATTTCCAGTTGAGGAAGAATGTTATTTTCGCAGTTGAATAAGGAAATGTGAAACCGCGTAGGATAAAGTTTCTGTTGTGATAAATTATGCGGATCTGGTAAGACGAATCACGCAAATGGATTAAGGCATTAGGATTTAAAACAGCTCTTTTGTGTCGTTTTTAACATTAAATATATATTTTTTCCTTCAAAAAAATTTAAGCGTATATGAATGAAGTGATTGTTACTTATATGGGTCGTGATGATTTTTTTCAGGAATCATGATGATTTTTTTTCGTGCTTGAATCAGAGTCGGACTTAGATTTTTTGGTATGTATGAAATTGAATTTTTTCCGAAAAATTCTCGGATCATAAATGATTCTTGAACGTGATTAATTTTTTTTTCGCTAAATTTTCTATCAATTTTTTTGATTTCCTTGTTTTTTTCAACCATATGTTGCCCATGCTTGTCTTAACTTCAATTTATCTTTGAATCATTGGTATCAGTAGTTAATGGTTGTGGAAATATACTCCAATTGTACTCGGTGATATATTACAATAGATCAATAGATGGCAGATTCAAGTTAAATAGCTTGATCGCTCTTTGTTATACTTCGAACAGTATTTGTAATTTGTTTCAAATCCTTTTTTGGCAAAAGAAATGTAAAATTTGATTTTTTAACAACATTTCGTGAGATATTTCTCAAAATTACCACCTATTGTAGCATATCATCCAATACTCATCTCTTCCTTTTTTTAGCAGTTCGTGAGTTGCGTGTGTGTCAAGTGTCTGCAAGGAGGAGGGGTAGGGGGAGGTGTGGTGTGCATTTGCTGTCACTGTGGCAAAGAGTGGGTAGGCAGCTCCTTCCAAATAGGGGTCATCTACCCATTCGACATATTCGCCGCAAACATATGTTGCAGCGAAAGGTACTACTTACTACGACTATATAAAATTGCTCATTGTTTCCACGTTATCTATGTATCAACTCCCATATTGGAGTAAAAGAGCAGTGCTTCTTTCGGCTTCTTTTTCCATCATGAAATGTGAAATCAACAAGGGTTAATATTTGATCGGTTTATTGAAGTATCAGAAGAATAATGAATGTTGTATTTGTTGATTGTTGTGATCGTTTCTGATTTTAGGTCGAAGTGTTCGCATTGTGAGAAGCAGTTGCTGACGAGTACGCGGCCATTGCCACAGAGGTACGCAGAGTTTAGTCTGTCGTTCCCCTGTCCCTCCTGCCAGCAGTCAGACTGGCACTTCGTCAGACCCATCCACAGACTGTTCAACATACAACAATAACAACAACAACACAGCTAATCTCAACTAGAAGTACTAAATAGATACAGAGGGTGTTCTCGTGTATACCCCTGTGCACGCCTCTGCAGACGAAAGCCTATATGACTCACTACTAAGATAGTTTTAAAGCAACAAGATCACAACTTGCCTGAGGGTTCTCCTAAGACACACAGCGTGTTTTTCGAGATATCATACTGCTCGAAAATCTGATTAAATAAAACTCATGTTATAAAAATTTAATTGAAAATGAAGTACCAAATCAGGCAAGCTCGACTGTAGGAGGGGTATAAACGATAACACCCAACAGACTACAAAATAGACACTTTTTGCAATTAAATCAATTTTATATCAATAATCTATACGTAGATGTAGATGATTTGTAAATTATATTTTTGTTTAAGCTAGTTAGAAATTCAAATTAATCTATTTTTTTCTTCACAGAAGTTTCCTGAGTTTTGTGTGAAATTTTTATGGCGCAGTGGTAGCGATGCTTGATAATGTAGTTGAAATTGAGATAGACCTGAAATTTGCAATGCGATATCTGTAAGAAGCAAAGTTCAAAGAAGACTGCTCGTATCAGATCGAAGCACTGATTGTTCAGACTCTCTAAAATCAAGAAAATCTTTTTGATTGTAGAAGTTTTTTAAAATGAAAAAAAAAACGTTCTTTATTGAAAGTTATTTTTTCATTTTTCCCCTCCACACCCTATGTAAAGTACACTGAAAAATTATTAACATTTGCTAACATATTAACAAAGCAAGTTGCTTGCCTCCATGCAATTTATCATCTATCTATTATATATTTAATGGCTTCACGACTGCGCCATTTTTATGCTTTCTCAAAGTACACTGAAAAATTATTAACATTTTCTAACGTATTAACAAAGCAAGTTGCTTGCCTCCATGCAATTTATCATCTATCTATTATATATTTAATGGCTTCACTACTTCGCTATTTTTATGCTGTCTCAACGTATTTTTTCATATTTAACGAAAGAGGTATATTGCAATGCTAAAGAAGTTTTTTCGTTTTTCCAGTTTGAATTCAGTATGCGTTTCACCAAAATGAAACAGCAACCCAAAAGTGGGATGCTCTCAGGGTTCCTCTGGGGATAGAAATTTGGCGTCCAATTATGAATATCCACATCTTTTTAGCTTACGAGATACGACGACTTTCGTGAATTTCAGAAAATTTAATTTAAACATCATAAAACTTGAATTTCCCAAGGCTGTGTTTGGGAGCTGTCTAGATAATTGCAAGAATTGCAAATCTTGCGTCCAAATGTGGCAGCTCAAATGCTTTTAGCTTACGAAATATGACGTTATGTCTAAAAAAAGTTTCAAAGAACTTCGATTTGAAAAACTTCACAAAATTTCAAGTTCTGAGCTCTACAGTGAGAGGATGTCAGGGTATTTTCAGGGGTTGCAAATCTTGCCTCCAAATATGACTGCTTGAAGTTTGTAAGACAACGTAATTGTTAAGAGTAATGAACGTAGTGAAGACTTATATATGCCTTGCTGATTTTTGTTTTCAGGAAAAAGTCTTAAAATCTTGATGCACTTAGGTATAATGAACTATTTGAGTTCAATTGAAATTCATGTCCTGAAAGTGAGTTAAATCACACTCTCCAAATACGAACGTGGAAATGACGCAAAAAAACTTACAATTTCTAGTTTCGAAAGTGGAATTTATTTTTTGGATTTCCCAGCGGAATAAAAACTTTACCTATTGATCCAGTTTTCTCAAGTTGGTTTCATGTTATCAAAAAAGCGCCATCGTAATTTAATTAATTTAGAAATTCACAGAATTTAAAGAGCATCTATTTTTCTTCGAAAGTTGAGATTTCTTCAAGAAAGTGTTTACTTGCGTTCATTACTATTTTCCAATCTTCGATTGGCTATGTTTTGATTTTCAAAATGAGGTTTTTCAAAAAATTGTCAAGCCTGTAGCTGGGTGGTGCTGTGAGGATAAGCTCAAGGATTGAAAATCTTGCCTAGAAACGTGACTGCTCAATTGCTTTAAAGTTCCGAGATAGACATTTTTATGATTTTTCCGAAAATTATTCTGAAATGCTTACTTAAAAAATTTGATAAAAATAGAAAATCACAATTTGTAGTAGTTGGTTGCTGCCATAGTACTCCTGCCTCGTAAATCTTGCCTCTAGTACTCAAAAATTTTGCCTCCAAAATGATTGCGCACACTATTTTGTTTTCGAGGCGTGACGATTTTTATGATCTTTTCAATAGTATTCCTAAAATTTAGTTTTGAAAAATTCAGCAAAATCTTAAGCTTGAATTTAAGAAAACAAAAAGTTGTTGAACGCCCCTCGTCTACTGTTAAGCTTTCATTTGGTTGTTTTTTCAAATAAGTTTTTAGAAAGCAATTTTCACATTATTTTGTCTACTCGAAACCAGAAGTTTTCTTTAGATTGCCATTATAATCGTTTACTTTTGGGAAAAACAAACCCATTATCGGTTTTGAACCATTATCTTTAGCACTTAAATCAATTTTTTTGTATCAACTAAAACATTATAATTGATTTCTTTTGGAATAAAATTCCATCATTACACTTGTGAACACAAGTGTCTTATAATCGAGAACTAGACTTTTTCCCCTAAAAATTTTTTCTCATTTTGTAATTGCTTCACTTTTGAATCTTAACAACTTAAAGGTTTCTGGGCACTTGGCCTAGAGGTAACGGTGTCGCTTTTGCCCCTGCGGTCAGGTCAAGTCCTGGCCAGAAAAATGTTTCAATATGTATGCAATTGTCGGGTTTTCGTATATGTGCTCAAGTGTTGTCGGCTTACTTGCAACATCACGGATTTTGATTTTGCCTCAGCAACTTTCAGTGTAGCTGCAAGTGTTGTTCCAGTATTGTCCGTATTGCAAGTGTTGTGCATTCATGGCCATAACTGAATCAAAATGTTTTCCTCTAAAACATTCTACCGCTCTTTTTTGTATGACAGTGTTCTACGGAATGCCAGAAACAACTATTGGTGATTGCATCTACCAAGAAAAATAAAGGTTTTGTTCCACAAACATCACTGACAATTACGCTATTAACAGTTGTTTTCTTACCAAATGAAATGCACAAAAGACAAAAATAATTGCAATATAAATCACGAAATTAAAGCAGAATGAGTTTGGTTGATTAGATTTTTCTTTGTTTTACGAGCATCGATTGTCTTATAATATCAGTACAATTGTTCCCAAACTGGATGCAATGTTTTCAAATTTCAACTCGAGTTTAAAATTTCCAATCCCTGTTTTTGCGGGAAATTTTTGTCGTGGTGTGAGTTTCTAGTTTGTTTTATGAATTTTTCCAAGCAAAATCTGGTTCCACAGAAAGAAAGTCTTTGCAACTCGTTAGGTGACCAATGATAATATGGCCTTTATCAGTAAATTGAGCAGCATAATTTTGAACAACATTTAATTTTTGTTAAAAACTGGTTTAAGTTTTTTGGTTATGTTTAATTATCAGCAGTCAAAATTTATAAAAACTTAACAAAATTTAAATTATATGATTTCATATACAACAAAAATGAAAAACCAAGAATCATAAATTCTTCAATTTCTAAGCAAAAAATTGTTGTTGACTTTGGTCAAATGACAAAAAATATCCAAATTGCTGACGTTTTTGTAGCTTAAACGGCAGTAACAATCAAAGAAAAACTAACAGGACGCTATAGCAAGTCTATAAAAATGTAATGAATTCAATAGCAAAATCATTGCTTTAGTGATGATCCAAATGTATCTCAAAAGATTGTATTTCCTTTTTATCACTATTACAAAACTTGGCTCTGGGGTGGTTTTGGACCTACTTTGAATTGACTAGAACGCACTTTGTATACGCTAGGCTGTAAACCTGATTAAAATACCGAAAAAAGTTTGTTCTATGGTGCGTAACTTAAAGGAAGAGGACCGCAGCGAGCTTAACAAGCGGATGGGTAAGTTTGCTTGACAAAGTGATTTAAAAATGAAACGGACGACGTTATCTGTGCCCTATATGAGCGAGACAATTTAAGCGAGTAGATAGTAGACCATTGCTTTGTTTTACTTGACTTCCCAAATGAGATTCGCAATTTTTAGGTGGAGCGCAAAACTTGTTGTGCTTGTTGGTTCAGGATTCATAATCTTTTAGCCAAGGCTACCATATGGAGTATGCACGCAATTTTGTCCCATGATACAGTATCTTACGGTCAAAGCAATCGTCAGCAAAAAGTGTGGCTTCTGGGGTGTTAATTTTCCTTTTTAACTTAGTATTTATCAGGATGGCTTGTGCTCGTTTTCTTTACTCATAGATGCATTGGAGCAAAGCAGTTTTTGCTCCAAAATAACTGGTAACTTTTTTGAACCAAAATGCAGACGGTGACTTTTTGCATTCGTCAAATCACTTTAAGCCTATCAAAAGAAAATTTGCACCCACGAAGCATACACTTTCAAATTTCAAGGCTACGCCGTATGCACATCTGATATGGGCCAAAGTTATCCACCCACAACAAATCAGAGGTGGTTGCTCAAACCCCAAACGCACAACTGGGAGTTTTGACTTCATCGGTTCTAAGGTAACAGATTTTCGCGTACGGCGTATCACAGATTTATTTTCATAGCAAACGCAACATGAGTATAGCGAAGCGATTTTAAGCTAGTGCTTGCTGTGGAACTGACGGATAAGAAATATAAATAATATAGAACGACCGTCCAAAATAAGAGTTTTCCTCGCGTTGAAATGTGTTTACTTCAAGCGCTTGATAGTGACGTTAGAACCAAAAACAACTTATTGAAACCCACAATCTGCAAAAAAGACAATATCCTGCTATTTCAGTTTCTTGCTAAAGAACAACAACTCGAGTTTGGTCCATCCTAGCGGGAATGATTCATAGTGATGAAGCCATAACCACTTTTCTTCCGCAATATCAAGTTCTCATAGATCCGATATTGCTGCATCTGGTTTTGAAAGTATCTGTGAAAATCATTCGAAATTGTTAAAAAGCAAATGATCAAAAAGCCTTTTCAATGATTTCAATACCAATTAAATTTTTCAAAGTTTTCTCAATTTCAATAAAAACAGGTTTGAGTTTTGCAAACCATCTTTCTTTCAGGTTTTCTTTTCAGCAAAACTTTTTAAAAACTTATTGAAAATATTTCTATATGAAGATAATCAAAAGCAAATTTTAAAATACAAATATTGTTTAAATTTCTTTTTCAAAAGAAAAAATGTAATCAAATATGCTCAATTTACTCTGACTATCGACTTCGTAGAAATCTTACCGTGTTTTTAGATTTTCTCTTTACAGCACAAGGCTTTTCAAGTCTTATTTTTGTAATCCGGAGTTTCTGTGCTACTTACACAGTAATCGGCACCTCTTGATTCTCTGTGGTTTTTAGTTACGTCTGTTATGTTCAAATAGCGCCACTTTAGC